TTCTTATCAAATGTATTTTCGCTTCGTTTCACTTTAGCACACTGTTCTGTAGGATTGCCAATCATAAAACAACGCACCCAGAGCTCTCCACATTTCTTCTTAAACATTTTGTCGTTCGAATGCATTCATCATCATATTTGGAGCTGTAGCATATTGCCTTGGTAAAATGTATGTCTTATGTGATAGTGCTATTGCAAGTTTATGAAGAATGTTTTGGTTCTAGGGTAATTTAAAGGAATTGAAACATTTTAAACGTATTGAATGAAAAAAACTTTAATTATTTTAAAGAAAATGATTTCAAGCTAGGGTTCTATAGTTGAAACGAAAAGTCGAATTTTTGAATTTTATGAAATGTCGATTTTTCGACTTTTTTCATTTAATTAAAAGTCGATTTTTCGACTTTTGGATTTTTCGATTTTTTTCGACTTTTTGAATATTTTTGACCTTTTGACTTTTCTACCTTTTGTCTTTTCGTCCTTTTGACTTTTCGACTTTTACCGACTTTTTCCGACATTTGGATTTTTCGATTTTTTTCGACTTTTTAAATATTTTTGAGTTTTTTCGACTACTTTTTGACTTTTTTCAAGTTTTTCCGACTATTTTTGACTTTTCGACTTTTTTCGACTTTTGGATTTTTCGATTTTTTTCGACTTTTGGATTTTTCGATTTTTTTCGACTTTTTGACTATTTTTGACTTTTTTCTACTACTTTTTGACTTTTTTCAAGTTTTTCCGACTATTTTAGAGTTTTTGACTTTTTTTCCACTTTTTTTTTTAAATTATCGACTATTTTTGACTTTTTTCTACTATTTTTTCCGACTTTTTTCGAATTTCAGACTTTTCGACTCTTATTTACAAAGTCGACTTTTAGACTTTTTTCGACAAAAAGTCGATTGTTCGATTATTCGAAAGTCGATTTATAGAACCCTACTTAAAGCATTCCATTATCTATCGGGGAGAGTCAAAAACTTAATTTTTTGGATTCAATATACATATTCTAACAGTATTAACGACATAGCTCGACCGATAACACAGGCCAAATAAGTTTGAAAAAAGTCGAAACCCTGAAACCAAGTCCTAATTTTGATTGATTCTCCATCACATCTTGGATTTGGTGTATCGTGTGTAAACTAAAGCGGATTCAGCAATTACAGCAGATTTTTAAACAATCCATTGTCTACTGATTTTCGTAGACGGGTTAAGTTGGCTTTATTAATTTTGGCCCAAAAGAAAGGGGACTTTCAGATTTGTCAGAAATTCAGATTCAGAATATTGAATAATTATAGACATTTTAAAATATCAACAAAAAGTGTCTACTTCAGTATCGGAACATCAGTATGTTCTACATAGCTGCAGATCATTGAAGAGATATTCAACAATGAGTCGTAAACAGATAAATGTTTTAAAAGTGTTTGAAAGATCAACAAATAATGTATGATCAATTCGTTAATGACTGCATTCCTTTCATTCACTGCCTTAAACGAAAGGTGAATCTACGTTCCTTTTTTTCTATGTTAATATTTTTAGTACAACACTTGTTTAAAATGCCATAAATATTGAATGAGTTTGAAGTTGTGTTTTTGCGGTTTCATACCTCCGTGTTCTACCAAATTGTCACACTAGGGTCTTGTGGTTTATTTCAACTAGCTGTTTCTGTAATATGTAGCAAAAATAGTGGGCGTTTAAGTATATTGTTACATTTTTTTCACATACATACATTTTAATAGTACATATTACAGAAAATTGCAGTAAGTGTTAAATAAAGTATTTAAGTGGTAAAAATTGCAAAAATAAAAAAAGAAATCTGCTTAAAATTCATAGCAAAATTGAAGGAAGAAAGAAAGAAAGAAAGAAAGAAACAATTTACTACAGATTTTCAGAGTAGAATGTAAATTGTTTTTCTAGTTGCTTTTAAAATGGTAACACACAGTTTAACATACTTTTTTTGCCTAATGTGCCCTAAATTTTAATGAGGGTCAGGCCTGTTACATTTCAAGAATTTTAAAGTATATTTCACATACAAATTTACATACATACATGTGAATGTATGTATGTAAATACGTATGAATATTTAGAAGTAGAGGTTTTGTCAAAATCAATTTGCTTGTGGAAATTTAAGAAATTTTCCAAATGCACTGGTCTGCTTAATTTTTGTTGATTATATGGGAGAGCTTTTGCTTTAATTGCTTTGCCATTGCATAGTTAAGTGGTTATTTGACCTACTTATTTAAAATTTAAAATATTTGTTGATGTCAAAGTTTAAGAAATTTTACTTTAGTTAAACGATTTAAGAAAGGGTCTAACTATTTGATTTAAAATATTGGATAACTTCTGCAGATGAAACTAATTCATGAACATGACTCTGAAATGTCCGATCACCAATAACGCGGCTGACATCAGATTTATCTTTGAGGAAAGTTAAAGCGCTCACTAGCTTCTGAGCATTCATCGCGCGGTGTGAGCATTGTAAATAAGGTGTGTCCAGGTGCTAAAGGTTCATTACAATTTAACTTCATAGTCAATTTTATCAATTATAAACTAAATAATGACTCTATTATACATAAAAAATTCTCAAAACATTTAAACTTAGTTTATAATAAATACATTATCCATTTATAATAATCGATTAAATATAATTTTCAAGTAATTTTCTTAAACCCACTCAAGCTAAAATTGAATAAAATCAACAAATTTATTTAACTTTGTCTCCTCCACATCAAACACTTATAAGCGCTTGAACAACTCAATTCAAGCAACCAACCATCATCCATTCATTCTTCAATTCATTGTAAATTAACGCTTTCCGACAAGACAAATATCTTGGCTGTAGTCTGCTCTACCGACCGTTCGTCCGACCGTCTACCGCTTTGGTTTTATTTTTTTTTGTGTATTTTACATTTTAAGGTTTTAAATTACCATAAAAATGCACAAATATACAATACAATGGATTTTAAAACCATTTAATGCAATAGTTAGAAAATAAAATTTAACAAATACAAATAGACATAATCATAAATACAAATAAAATACTATAAACTCTACTACTACAACTCATTCTAATATAAATACAAATATGTATCTGAATTTAAAATAAATTGCATCAAACATCATCAAATCAATTTGTCGTCAAGATGTTGTTGAGGGGAAACTGTGAATTAGTCTGCCTCTATATTTTGTTATTTGTTGTTGTCAACAAATTGTCTTCATCTTTCTTAATAATTTAAATTATTTTATGGTTTTATATACGAGTAACTATAACAGCAATGGGGAGTTTTTCATATCTCATGTTATGGGTAAATAGCCTACATAATACATCCATATATTTTAAACTGATCAAATGATTTACTGTTCAGTACTTTCCAAAAAAGAAAGACTTTGTACTTAACTTTTTTAAAATGTTTTTTGAAACAAAACTTACTTTTTTCTCTGCTTTACACAAGAAATAATTTGATATTATGTATTTGCCCATCACTGCTTTGTATTCACTTCTCCGAATCTTTGTTTGGATTTATGAACATTTATCCATATATTATGTGTGTATTTATGTTATAATATTTAAAGTCTTTAAGTATTTTGTATTTAATCAAATTCAATGGTTTTCGGAAAACTTTATTATTTAAATAAATATTTATTTGTATGCATGAAAGTGTCGTCACATTCATACGAATCTAAATATTTTTAAAACAAATAAAAAGTTTATTTTGTCATTTATCATTGCAAATATTTATTCAAGCAATTATTTTCAAGGCTTTTTCAAAAAAAAAAAAAAAGAGTTTAATTTTTGAAATCATTCCATTTATTATTTTGAAAATTATTTCAAAATTAAAGAGTATTTATGAAATTCTTTAGAATTTTGTTGTGCTTGAGTGAAGACTAATTATAAATATTTAGTTTGCAATGTGTTATTGTGGCAAGCATTGCTATTGAATAAATAGTTAATTTTGCAAATTTACAATTATGGTTATTCTAATAGAATAGAGAAACAAGACAATGGTATATTGTTTTAAATATAAACGGTTTTATTATGGTAAATATTAGGGTAATTGTGTCAACTTAAAATTGATTGGTCTTAAAAATTTAAATATTAAAATATTTTCAGATCATGATAAGAATCTTCTAATAAATTCGAATTAAGTCTATAAAGAAGTCAGTAGAATAATCCATCGTCTACTAGATAGTAGCCTAGTCCAGGCATGGAAAATTTCCGCATAGTCCACATAGTAGTCATTAGATCAGTTTAATCTATAGTCTAGTCTATAGTCTAGTCTATAGTCTAGTCTATAGTCCAGTCTATAGTCCAGTCTATAGTCTAGTCTATAGTCTAGTCTATAATCTAGTCTATAGTCTAGTCTATAGTCTAGTCTATAGTCTAGTCTGTAGTCTAGTCTATGGTCTAGTCTATAGTCTAGTCTATAGTCTAGTCTATAGTCTAGTCTATAGTCTAGTCTATAGTCTAGTCTATAGTCTAGTCTATAGTCTAGTCTATAGTCTAGTCTATAGTCTAGTCTATAGTCTAGTCTATAGTCTAGTCTATAGTCTAGTCTATAGTCTAGTCTATAGTCTAGTCTAATATATAGTCTAGCCTATAGTCGAGTCTATAGACGAGTCTGTTGTTCAAAGACTAATCAATCGACTAAATCATAGACTAGTTAGTATATAGATGGTCCTTCGAGTCTAAAGCACAGTCAAACAAAATGAAATCGTATTAGACATCAAAACACACAAATTTTCATAACGACACAAAACCAATTTATAAAGAAAAATCTTCATACAGAACTACATCAACCATAACCCATCAAATTATAAATAAAAACAAAACAAAGAAAAAATGCGAATAGCAGAAACAAAACAAAACACCCAATAATATAAACAAAAAACCTTAAACAAACCAACTCAAACCGTTACATCAAACTTCATCAAACGCAACCAACAATTTCCCGGCATTTTTCAATGGTTTCATACAAGAATTGTAACAAACAGAAGTTTAGTTTGCCGCGAACATTTCAACTTAAATGTTGTATGAAAACGTGTCGACGAAACCCAAATTCCATTGATGGAATTAAATCTGGTGGAGAATTGGAATTTTTCAAGCAAAAAGAAAATTGTTTTTAATAAGAAAAACGTTAAAATACGTGAGAATGTGATTTCCTTAACGGTGATAAATAAAAAAGTTTACTAATGAAATTGATAAAGTGTTAGTTTTTTGTGTGTTGAACTACGTGTGTGAAGCTCCCGACCGGGGCTTATCTACCGCCACCCTCTGGGGTTTTGAAAAATTTATAATATATGAAAGATATTAAATTTTAATTGATTTACATTTTAATACTTATCTCTGTGTCTATTTTTCAAAAGATAAATATTAAACAAATATTGGAAAAAAGTAAATATTAACGGGTGTATTATAAGGTTTGAGTTGTTTTTTTTTCAAATGTGTGATGAACATATTTTAAATAAGAAACAACTAAGTTTTATACATATTGATTATGAGTAGAGCTGTTTAATAAATAAAAGGTATTTTTTTTTTTTAAATAATGATAAATACCTTCAAATAATATTTACTTAAAAACAATATTTAGTTATAGAAAACAAATAATAAATAAACAAATATGTAAAGCCATAAATATGGGTCACTAAAAGGAAAATACATAATAAAACTAATTGTAAATTTCTTAAGCCCTAAGTTTCTGTGAAATCATAAAAAAATTCTTAAATAAAAAATTTTAGAAAATTTATGAAGTTAAAGTACAACTATAAAACAAAATTTCAAACATAAACCTACTCATCGATAACACATGAAAAGTGCTTTTTACATTATAACGGATTAAGTCATCTTAACGATATTTAAGCGCCACTAACGTTACGGTAACAAAGTTGAAAAAGAGGAGAAATTCTTATAAAATCCATTTGTATTGAAAAACAACAATAATAAAACAACAAGAAATATAACAAAAAATAACGCAAAAAACATAATATAACAACATAACAATTTCGTTGATAAAACGTGTACAAGTACGTGTAAGATGGAAAGGAACAAATAATGCTAACAAGGATTAACAATGGATTACCTGACATAAGCAGCTCCCTAACAACAACAACAATTACAACAACAGCTACGATAACAACTACAACAACTTAACAATCTAAAATAAAAGAAAAATAATAATAAATAAGAAGTACGTACTACTTCCACTTCTGCCACTACTTCTCTACAAGTTTGGCAAAAGAAAAGAAAAAACTCCAATTCTTAAGACTTTTCCTTTTTTCTCGATAAATAACCCAGCAGGCAATTAAAAGGTAAGTTAAAGAGAAACTTTCTAAAAAAGGATTAATTAGAATTTAAGTAATAAAATAAGTTGTCTTGATTTTACTGATTTCATCTTCTTACTGATCACACACAATAGCCGACTATGGGATTACGATATTCTCTTAAGATTATCTCTTAAGATGTTTTGTATCAATTGATTGCAATTTTCAATAAAGATCCTGTTAAGTATCTACAACCAAATGATCACATTGATTATTATTTTCAAATATTCAAACGATTTTAATTTAAAGTTGGTTGCAAGATTATTTGGGATCAGTCTACCAAATTGACTATAGTTGCATTGACATCCCAATGTAGGCAATGAGATGATGCAGTTTGATGATCATCAAACTGATTCAAACTTTCGCAAAGATTCATTCTCATTAAAGTTGTTCATAATTAAGGTAACATAAGGCTGATGTCAGAGTGCCTGCTATAAGCGATGCGAAGCTTTACGCTACAAACTTTTGCTTGTGTTTTCTCGCATCAAGCTTTGCTTTCACTCTGACATGACACATAGGTAAACACAAGGAAAGGTTTGTAGCGCAAAGTTTTGCATTGCTTGTAGCGCCCACTCTGTAGTCAACATAAGAGTCTTATCTGCTTGTAAGTTAAGATCGTTTATGATCATCATAGACTGCATTATATCCTCAAAGAAATTGGATATGAATGACTGCGTGTATTTGTGTAATAGGAAGACATCAAGTTGAGATGCGTTAAGATGTTAGTTTTGGGAACAATCGATATTCGATCTACAAACTTATCTGAACACAGGAAATCTAAAACAAGCTTTTTTATATTATCGAACTTAAGTTCGAAAAGAGTGATTTGAAAACACTTAATATCGGATTTTCTAGTAAAACTGTAAATTTTGTTGGTTGTGGAGATTGCTTGAAAGATCAGAACGATTTAATTTAAACTAAACTGTTGTCAATGTCAAATGTAAAATCTCATAACGATTGTATTCGCAGAACTTCGAGTAAATTATCGAATGTTTCTTGCGAAAATAGGCAAAGCTTTTCAAAACATTTGTACCTTGACATATGTATTAAAGGGGCAAACCGACAACTTTGTTTAAAGTGTAGTTTAAGTAGGCACAATGCGACGTGATCGTACAGATCTTTTATACAGATGCAAAAGTTTCATTCATTACCAGATATGACATACAGGGAGTCTTATTGAATCAAGTGGCTTCTGGAGATATAAGATCTAGTTTCGAGCTCTGTATTTTTTAAAGTTGAAAAGTTATTAACATGATTAATCTGGAATTCTTTGAAGAAAACGTCAAAACAGATCTTTTTTTTTCGTGGCGACTAATAGAACTTTTATAGTTACGTTCAAACAATTGGTTTCTGTAGATCTGTCTGATCAAATCAATATGATCGTTGCAATCTTAATAAGTATTCAGGAGTTTTATTTCACAGTCTTGCAAATTTCCAAATTAGAAGAGAGTTTTATGGAAACTAGTGGCATCGGAAGACAGACATTCAGTTTTGAGCTTAATATTTTTCTATGCTGAAAATAATCTTGTGTTATTATACCCTACACCACTGTAGTGGGGAGGGTATTATACGTTTGTGCTGCTGTTTGTAACGCATAAAAATATTAGTCCTACACCCACATTAAAGTGTCCCGATAGACTCAGAATCACTTTCTGAGTCGATTAAGACGTGTCCGTCCGCCTGTCCGGCTGGCTGTTCATGTAAACCTTGTGCGCAAGCTACAGGCCACAATTTTCAAGATATTTCGATAAAATTTGGACCATACGTGTTTTTTTGCACAAAGACGATGGTTGAAATCGGTCCATTGTTTCACCTTGCCCCCATACAAACTGATCTTCCGACAACGTCAAATATACTACTATCTCTCCAAAAATTGACACAACTAAGTTTTATATAGGCATAAATGACCATGCCGATTATTATAATGATCGCCCGTCGTTTGACACTAGCCCCCATAAAAATCCCCCTTTTAAAAAATAACAAACGTCCAAATATTGGCTTATAACTATTAGTATAGCGATGAAATTCAGCATATCTAACCTATATAAAAATACATCCCTCCTCCAAATTTATTGAGGATCGGCTCATATTTGGCCCTAACTCCCATATAAAGCCTCTTTTAGAAATTTTGTTTTGTTTGTTGCTTAAATAGATCGGAATTAAGGTAAAATTCAACATAAAAGTTTCTTTATGAAAAATATTTTCTAACAAAAAATGCTCAGTGGGTTACAAACCCCTGCAGCATTGATTTTCATTGTATGCGTGTGTACATCTTATATCTGTTGGTCTTTCGGTATGTTCGAGTAACTGTCTGTCTGTTTGTCTGTCTACCAGTCCATTCATCTGTTTCTCTGTTTGTTTGACTCTGTATATTGCTGGATATTATTTGTCCACCACCTACAATCACCCAATAAATGCCGAAGCTGAAGGAAACAACATTTTAGCTTTTTATCACATGCCATTATAAGTTAAGATTCTGTATTAATGTTTTACTTTTTTTATATTTTATTTTCGTACTTATTTTTTGCTGCTCCTTCCATTTTTTTCTGACTTTCTTTAGCTGCCGGCATTTTTTTCTTTTATGGATTTCTTTTACTTTATATTTATATTTTCGTTATTTTATTTTTTAACTTGCCTTACGAACCTGTAAGTCCTTTTTCATTTAATTCTTTTTTCATTCTTCATCATTTTTTTTGTTCTTTTTATCAACTTTTGCTCATGTTATTGACGAAAAATTCTTTACATTCATTGTTGTACCATATTTTTCTTCAATGTACAAGCTTTGTAAACAGTTTTTTTTTAATTTTTATGGTAGATTTTTTATTATAAGTATTTTTATACAAAAAATATACCACGCAAAGACAACCAGCAGCATTAACAGAAAAAATGTTAAACAAAGACGATAAAAGGTACCAGAGGATATAGTAATTTTAATAATAAATACCATTTTTTGGTTTGTTTCCTTTTCACTCTCCTGTGAAAAGGTATAAACTTATTGTAATGACTTTTAATAACAGGAAAAAGTACTCCTTACTCCTTAAAAGAGAAAATAAACAGTTCTTATAAAGGATCTGAAGTATAAAAAGGTGCGTTAAGTTGATTTTAATTAAATTTCAAATTTGAATTTAATTTGACAATGAAAAGTAAAAGGTTTGTGTGTCATTTGATTAAAAGTAAGTTAAAGTCAATAATTTTTAAATGTTAAGCAAAAAAATAAAATTGTTTTAGAAATAGCTGCAGAGTTTAAAGTTGGATTGTATAAGTGACACTTTAAGTTAAAATTCTTGCAACTTAAACAAACTTCTTTTCCGCATTTCTTTGTTGAAACCAAATTTAAAATTCTTATTTGTGGTATTGATACCCTTTAACATTTTTCAGCAATAAAATTATTTGCATTGAACAAATTTTTTGTTTGTTCGAACGGCTGTGTGTTATGTTGTTTATCTGCATTTTAGCACAAAAAAAAACACCCAAAGAATTTAAGTTACATTAAGAACGTGCAGCACATAAATTAGTGCACAATCAATTAGTAGCATGCAGCATTCTACATAAAAATTGTCAGAACAAAAAAAGAAGCAAACAAAAAAAGAACTACTTCAAGAACCCCTTAAATAAAAGTATACAAAAAGAGGAAATCAACGCACATTTCTTAAACTCAACTCATCATTGATGATTTGCTTTATTTTCCCTTAAGAACCATGATGCAACACTACTACTGCTGCTGCTTGCTGCCTTCTTTAGCCTTCACCAACGGAAGGAGTTGGTTGCCGCAGTGGATATAAATAAATTCGTATTGAACAGCAATTCAATTAAATTCTATATACTTTTCGTTCTTGTTATTAAGTGTTTCAATATTTTGGATTTCTTTTTTTTTAGTTTATTTTTTCATCTCTGTTACAATTGAAATCGTTTTCATAAGTATCGTACACTTTATTTTAGCAAAGACTGTGAAATACACTCGAATGGGAAATGTTGGTAAAATATTTGAAATTTGTTTAATATACATTAAAATATCTTTTCCTCTTAAATACATTTTTCATAAAGCATCTACACATCTTGTTGGAAAAGTCGAAAATTTTTTTTTATTGATTTATTACAAAATTACGGAGTTCAAAAGGTTTTGTTATATTTAACAAATTTTTAATTGATTTGATGAAGAGCAAGATATTTCAGTCAAAGTATAGTCTATATTGATTTCTATATGGACTGGTTTTTTGACAAATCTATTGACTACTCTATGGTCCAGTCAATTGTCTGTTGTATAGTCTACCTATTCACCAGTCTATGGATTAGTCTTATAAATAGTCATTGGACTAGTCAATAAACTACATTGTGGGCTAATCAGTATTCTATGGACTAGTCTTTTGACCAGGCTATTAACTAGACTAATGAGTAGTCTATGGACTAGTATTTTAACTACTTTACGAACTGATCTTTCGGCTAGTCTATGAATCAGTCTATGGAGTAGTCTTTTGACTAGTCAATATATGGACTAGTCTATGGACCAGGCATGGGGGTAATGATTACACAAAGTAATTCACTACATGGTCAATTAAAATTAGTTGTAATGTGTAATTAAGAAATAACCAATTACAATTATTTGTAATTGAAGTTTTGCCAATTACAATTACTTGTAAAGTGTAATTGTCCAATAACCAATTACAATTACTTGTAATTTTGGTATTACTAATTACAAAATAACATGTAATTATAAGGAACAAAATTTACAATTACAAATAATTGTAATTGGATAATCTTCAATTACAATTACATGTAACTGTAATTGGTGAATCTTCAATTACATTTACTTCAAATGTAATTGTAATTGAAAATGTAGTCATTACCCCCATGCCTGCTATGGACCAGTCTACAGTATATTAAGTAATCTAGTGACCAGCCTATGACTAGTCTATAAAATTATCTATTCACTAGTTTCTTAGTCCATAGACTAGTTTCTGCATAAGTCTATTAGTTTATAGACTAGTCTG